CCCGCGACGCGCGCAGGTCGCCCCGGAGGGGTCCCAGCGACGCGCGCGGGTCGTCCGCTGCGCAGAGCAAAGAGAGCTAGCTGGCTTGCTGATAGCGGGCAAGGCTCTGCCGCTGGGCAGAGCGACGACGGGCGAGCGAGGCGCTGGGCAGAACGCAGCACGGAGTCCCCGCGACGCGCGCAGGTCGCCCCGGAGGGGTCCCAGCAACGCGCGTGGGTCGTCCGCTGCGCAGAGCAAAGAGAGCTAGCTGGCTGGCTGATAGCGGGCAAGGCTCTTGCCGCTGGGCAGAGCGACGACGGGCGAGCGAGGCGCTGGGCAGAACGCAGCAAGGAGTCCCGCGACGCGCGCTGGTCGCCCCGGAGGGGTTCCAGCGACGCGCGCGGGTCGTCCACTGCGCGGAGCAAAAAGAGCTAGCTGGCTGGCTGATAGCGGGCAAGCCTCTTGCCGCTGAGGGACCACGAAACGTGTGAAGAGTGTGCCGAAATGAATGGCGGGGACGCGTGCGGACTGTGCCACGGGGACCTTCGGCGGAGCTCCTATGGGACCACGAAACGTGTGAGGGGTGTGCCGACATGAGTGGCGGGGACGCGTGCGGACTGTGCCGCGGGGATCTTCGGCGGAGCTCCTATGGGGCCACGAAGCGTGTGAGGGGTGAGCCGAAATTTGTGGCGGGCACGCATGCGGACTGTGCCACTGGGACCTTCGGCGGAGCTCCTATAGGGCCACGAAGCGTGTGAGGGGTGGGCCGAAATGAGTGGCGGGGACGCATGCGGACTGTGCCACTGGGATCTTCGGCGGAGCTCCTATGGGACCACGAAACGTGCGAAAGGGGTGTGCCGAAATGAGTGGCGGGGACGCATGCGGACTGTGTCGCTGGGACCTTCGGCGGAGCTCCTATGGGACCACGAAACATGTGAGGGGACGAATGGCGGGGACGCGTGCGGACTGTGCCACGGGGACCTTCGGCGGAGCTCCTATGGGGCCACGAAACGCGTGAAGGGTGTGCCGAAATGAATGGCGGGGACGCGTGCGGACTGTGCCACTGAGACCTTCGGAGGAGCTCCTATGGGACCACGAAACGTGTGTGGGGTGGGCCGATATGAGTGGCGGGGACGCATGCGGACTGTGCCACTTGAAGCTTCGGCGGAGCTCCTATGGGGCCACGAAACGTGCGAGGGGCGTGCCGAAATGAATGGCGGGGGCGCGTGCGGACAGTGTAACTGGGACCTTCGGCGAAGCTCCTATGGGGCCACGAAACGTGTGAGGGGTGGGCCGAAATGAACGGCGGGGACGCATGCGGACTGTGCCACTGGGACCTTCGGCGGAGCTCCTATGGGGCCACGAAGAATGTGAGGGGTGTGCCGACATGAGTGGCGGGGACGCGTGCGGACTGTGCCACGGGGATCTTCGGCGGAGCTCCTATGGGGCCACGAAGCGTGTGAGGGGTGGGCCGAAATTTGTGGCGGGCACGCATGCGGACTGTGCCACTGGGACCTTCGGCGGAGCTCCTATAGGGCAACGAAACGTGTGAGGGGTGGGCCGAAATGAGTGGCGGGGACGCATGCGGACTGTGCCACTGGGACCTTCTGCGGAACTCCGATGGGACCACGAAACGTGTGAAGGGGTGTGCCGAAATGAGTGGCGGGGACGCATGCGGACTGTGTCACTGGGACCTTCGGCGGAGCTCCTATGGGACCACGAAACATGTGAGGGGACGAATGGCGGGGACGCGTGCGGACTGTGCCACGGGGACCTTCGGCGGAGCTCCTATGGGGCCACGAAACGTGTGAGGAGTAAGCCGAAATGAGTGGCGGTGACGCATGCGGACTGTGCCACTGGGACCTTCGGCGGAACTCCTATGGGACCACGAAGCGTGTGTGGGGTGGGCCGATATGAGTGGCGGGGACGCATGCGGACTGTGCCACTTGGACCTTCGGCGGAGCTCCTATGGGGCCACGAAACGTGCGAGGGGCGTGCCGAAATGAGTGGCGGGGACGCGTGCGGACAATGTCACTGGGACCTTCGGCGGAGCTCCTATGGGGCCACGAAGCGTGTGAGGGGTGGGCCGAAATGAGTGGCGGGGACGCATGCGGACTGTGCCACTGGGACCTTCGGCGGAGCTCCTATGGGGCCACGAAAAGTGTGAGGGGTGTGCCCGAAGGAATGGCGGGGACGCATGCGGACTGTGCCACTGGGACCGTCGGCGGAGCTCCTATCGGACCACGAATCGTGTGAGGGGTGTGCCGAAACGAGTGGCGGGGGCGCGTGCGGACTGTGCCACTGGGACCTTCGGCGGAGCTCCTATGGGACCACGAAACGTGTGAGAGGTGTGCCGAATGAGTGGCGGGGACGCATGCGGACTGTGCCAGTGGGACCTTCGGCGTAGCCCCTAGGGGTCCACGAAACGCTGTACTGGGTGGGTGAGGGAGACGCTGTACTGGATGGGGTGATGATGACGCTGATGATGATGATGATGATGATGATGATGATGATGTGGCCGATTCGGGGCCATCTAGTTTCTTCTTGGTGCAAACGGCGGAGGGCGGCCACGAGGGATGCGCCAGCAGCGACGCACAGACTCGGAGAAACTTTAGAAGCTCAAGTGGGTGGGGGGGCCCAGGGTAGAACTTGAGCGAAGGAATACGGCCGCGGTGTTGCCACAATTGCCGACAAGTCGCTGTATGTGGCCGGTTCGGGGCCATCTAGTTTCTTCTCTGTGCAAACGGAGGAGGGCGGCCACGAGGGATACGCCAGCAGTGAAGCACAGACTCGGTACCACACGCTAGTCTACCCAGGTGGCCACAGCCGAATTACTCATTGACCAAACATTTTCTCATATCTCGCGGCGCGGGACAGATGACGAGCTTCGGCCACTATCATTCCAGTGCCAGCAATGGCCACTTCCGAGGGGAGACCCTTAGCAGAGGCACGAGCTACGGCGTCCAGAGCTGGACGTCCCAGGCCTCCCAGGTGACGTCTCTGAGTGCGATCACAGAGGCCATGGGCGCAGAGGCAACGACGAGCGAGGCAATCAAGGTCCCGCACGCCCCAACCGACAAGATGGATTTGCTGTCTCACGCGACCCGCATACATGCACGCGTCGAGGGAGCAGGAGGAGGAGGACGAGGCAAGGAGAGGGGACAGGCGGGGATGCCTCCAAATGAGGCTCGACTCAGGGCGCATACAAATGGTCGGGACTCTGCGGAAGATACATTCAGCAATCAATTTGAAGGTGGATTCAGCCAACGCGTTGGCCACGCGCACGGCGCGACAGGCGGCCTCTGAGGCTCTATTCACGTGCAGCAGATAATCAACTTGCGGACACGCGACGCCCCTGGCGCCCAGGTGCCCCAGGGCAAGGATGTCCAGACTCCAAGCACAGCCGAGGCACGCACCCAGCCAGTCAGAGCCTTCAGAACCTGAGGGTCAGCGAGGTCGTCGAGGCGATGTCGAGCAGCGTTCACCGCTACGGTGCCGAGCCCGCGGGCCTCGCACACTCGCCGAACTCGGTCGGGGACACAGGTGCAGAGCATGATGAGGTAAGGCATCACTGTGGCATGCGCCCGCGCACGTAGCCACAGGCGCCTCACACGAAGAGCCACTTGTCGGTCATCGCGGGGGGCGCCTGCACCGGCGCTGACGCCGACGCCGGCCTCAGGGGCGGCAGCGGCAGCGAGAAGATGCCCGTCCTCGCCATCACGTCCATCAGGCCCAGCAGATCGCTCTCGACCTTCTGCCCGAAGTCCACCGGCGCGGGGTCGAGCTGGGCCAGCCGCTGCTGCGTGCGCGCCCGCTTGGCGTACCTGTTCAGAGACTGGTCCGTCCGCCACCTGCCGCGGTCCTTGACCTCCTTCCTCGCGCGGCGACCCGAGAGGAGGTCGTCGGAGGCGCCCCCGTGGCGCAGCGAGTAGAGGGAGGTCTGCTGGTCGGAGATCCGGAGCTGGACCAGGGCCTCCGCGAAGACGCGCCGCAGCTGGTGCGGCGTGAAGGCCCAGAAGCTCTCCTCCGCGCGGCGCCCTTGCCGAAGCGCCTCGAGGAGAGGCCAGAGGAGCGGATCGTCGACGATGACGCTCTCGTCGGTGACCCCCGTCTTGCCAGGCCTCCCGCTCGCCGCGTCGTTCACCAACAATGCCCAATGCTGGTGGCCCTCCGTGGAGCCCGACCTCGGAGCGATCAGGGAGGCCGCCGTGAGTCGGTAGGCCTCGCTGGGGCGGAGGTACGTGTCGAACGCGATCCTCACGAAGACCGCCTGCGACAAAAGCCCCTGAGACAGCAGCACGCCCACGATGGCGAACATCGCGACCCTCGGCAGCGGGAGCCGCATCTGCGGCGGCACGAGCTTCGCCCAACCCTGGAGGGCCCGAAAGGCCCGTGGCAGCGGGCGGCTGCCCATCAGCATCGACGGCAAATGGTGCTTCAGAGAGGCCATCGTGACGCGGCCCGTCGCACTGTCGTACCCGTCGAGAAAGAGGTGGGCGAAGAACACCACGAGGATCGCGTCGAGCTCGACGCTGTTCTTGAAGCCCCTGGCGGTCCAGAGGCACCAGTTCAGAAACCTGAGGGCGGAGGCGCGGTAGTTCTTGCCCGTCGACTCTGAGGCCGCGTTGGCCTCCAGCACCGACAGTCCGCCCCGCAGGAGCGTCAGCGGACCAGGATGTCCCCGCCTGGCCCTCGCAGCCTTGATCACCTCCCTGGGGGGTCCGCGGGCGGCGCGAGACGAGGTGCGACCCGACGCCCTCGAAGCTAGGGCCGACGAAGAAGCCCTCCCTCGACGGCTTGCCCGCGACATTCCTCTCTGACGGCACCCACCGCACGAGCAGGCGCAGGCCGCGGGCGAGGGCCGCGCCAGCGATGCGCCGCAGGGCGCGGAGAGGATGTCGGCTCCCAGACCGCCCCTTGCCGAGCGAAAGAGCTAGAGCCAAATTGTCCACGATGCAGACGACGCGATGATGATGAGCACCCAGCGCCCTCGAGGCGTGATGGGCGCTGAACCCCAGGGCCTCCGCCTCGTACTGAAGGATATCGCAGCCTCGTCGGGTATGGCGGCGAGAGTGCATGGTCTTCCAACCCTCGACCCCGTAGATGGACTCAGGAACCTCGAGGAACCCACTGGGCCCAGACGACGAAGCAGTAGAGGCAGTAGACGATGTGTCGGCACGGCAACCGCCGGCAGCACCGTCTCGACCGTCGACGTCAAGGGCGTGTGATCTGGCAAGCACGGCATCTCCATGACGATATCTCCAGCGTTCGGCGACGCGGCCGACCTCAGACGACAGCGCGGGGGAGACCTCCTTGACACAGACACCCTTCCCGAACGGCGACGCATCAGAAGCATGCACCCGCGAATACCAGCGAGACCTTGTAGAGGCACTCCAGAGCGGGATGAGGGCCACGGCAGCCGACAACTCCCTGACGACCGAGGGCCACAGGGGTCCAGGATGAGGTCCCACAGCCCCCATGAACCGATAGACCGCGTTAAAGATGCTCAGAACGTCGCGCCTCAGGATCATCCCCCAAGCACAGTGGCCTACGAGCACGCTGATGGCCCCAGCAGAGGCCCGCCCACGCTTCAAAAGTCCGAGAACGGCTTGACGAGTGCGAGCGAGGCGGTCAGGACGAACACGAATGATCCCAGAGGCTCCGTCGATCTCCAAGCCCGTGAAGACCCCCTTACTGACCGCAGGGGAGAATTCCAAGACAGGCAGCCCGCGGGCCGTGAGAAGGTCAGCAACGGCACGAGCAAGGGACGCGGCTGTCTCCGCACACTTGGATACGACACAGAAGTTGTCAACATATCCTGCACACACCGCGTCCTTCTCAGCGACCAAGGGGCGAGGACAGCCCCCATCCAGAATCATATAGTCACGGCCGAACCCGACATCCGACAGGGCTCTCGTCAGCGCACTCTGGCACAGGTGAAGGGCCCAACTCCACCCCATGGGAACGACCGTGACAAGAGGCTGGACACAGTCGTTGATGCCAAGACGAACCCCGTTGACCGACTTGAGGCCGACGAATATGTTGTTTATCGGTGGCAGAGAGAACAGCGACCCCATGCCAGCCGGCAGTCGTAAATGATAAAATGCACACTGTATGTCCCCCTGCGCGAACTGAAAACTGTCATCGCAGTCGAGGCTGGCCCACGCGCTGGGCGTGGGCAGACGAGTGGCTGGTGGGCACGAGAAGCTGCATTTGGCCAGCCTGGTGTCGAATACCAACCCCAGCTTGCCGTTTGATTTCTGCACGAAGAAGAGACCAGTAGAGAAGGATGCCTGCTCGCTGGAGACCCGCCAGGTGATCATGCCGTGGGCCTCCAGCTGCTTCAAAAACTCAGCGTAGGACTTCGGCTTAAAGCGCAGCTCAGGATCCACATAGGGGCGGATAACCCCCAATGATTCGCGCAGCTCCGCCGCCACCGACTCGGGATTCAGCATGCTCTGCCTCCAATCCTGCAGCACGATGGAGTCGGCCTCGGAGACGACGCCGCAGGTGGAGACTGCCTTCGTCGACTCGGGCCAGGCCACACGCGGCATGCTGCAGGGGCGCACTCGACCGCTGTCACCAGCGTAGCCAGGTGCCTGCGCGAGCATCTCTACGAGGGATGCTTCGCAATCGCGGCCTCTCTCCGAGTAGGCGGCGGGCAGCTCGAAGTCGCGGTGCAAGCCCGCGATGCAGTCCACTGAGGCTGCCTGGGCCGCAGGCGGTGGCCCCCCTTCGTCAGGCATGGGGGGCTCGTCCTTGCCGCAGTGGAGCCAGTTGAGAGCAGCCAATCCCTCGTTGCACCACTCTCTCCAGCCCGCGCCTTTGGCGGCGCGCAGACGAGCCCCTCGACCAAGCGGAAGGTGGCGACGCCCATCCACTGGAAGAAGAGGAAGCGGAAAAACGTCACGCTGGCGACGGTCACCTCGCGTGGGCAACTCCAAGCCAGGTGGGGCCTCGACGGGCTCGGGGCCAAGCTGGCCAGGCTCACGAACAGGTTGCGCGTCGTGAGGCCCCTCCTGACAAGCGTCCTTCAGGAACGTCATGGATGCCGCAAGGCCCGCTCCTCGCGAGCCTTGCGGCGTTCCTTTGCAACGGCAGCCTCGCTCTTCATCTGGTCGGCGATCCGATCCATCAAGGCTGGGCAAATGCACAAGTTGCCCATCGATATCGTCTCCCCAGTGCCGAGGAAGTGGCCGATCTCGGAGGAGACGTCGGCGGCCGCGGCCGCGGCGCCGTCCTTGGCCCGGCCCTTGGCCTCGGGCGCAGGGTGGGTCCTGCGCGCGCGCTCCTCGAAGAAGCGCTCCTCCACCAACTGCAGCTGCCGCGACAGGAACTCGTAGGAGGCCAGCTCGCAGATGATCAGCTGGTCGTGGCAGAGCGAGGTCTCGATGACGCGGCGCAGCGTCTCGTGCAGCTTGGCGGTGTCGCCCGTCTCTAGGGCCTGCATCATGGCCATCCAGCGGCTGTGCCACGCCATCGCCCCGCCAGCCATGCGGAGCATGAAGCGGAGCACCCGCGTCGTGGTCCTTGGGCCCCTCACGGGCCAGTCGGCGCGGGGGGTCTCGGTCTGGCGCCTCGCAGCGTCGCTGAAGGGCATGTCCCGCAACCCGCGCGCGTCGAGGACGGTGGCCAGCACGCGGGGATCAGGCCCCGCGACGCCGGGGGCCGCGGGGGCCGCGGCGGCGGCGCCGACGCCCGGAGGGCCAACGGCGGCAGGCAGGGCGGCCCCCCCCGCACCGAGCGCCGCAGCCAGCGTGCCCACCCCGCCCTCGGGCGCAGCGGCCGCCGCGGCAGGCGGCCCAGGGGCGCCCGCGGGGGGCGCGGCCGCGCCAGCCAAGGCCAGCGCGCCAGGCGCTGCGGCAGCGGGCGCCGCTCCGAGCGGGCCGGGCAAGGCCAGCACCCCCGCCGCCACGCCCAGCACGTTGTCGGCGCTGAGCTCGAGGTTGAAGGGCGACGGCGGCTGAGGCCCATGGCCCTGGGCGACGCCGCGGCGCACAGCAGCCCAGACGACGGCTGCCGACGGCATCCGCCTGAACTTGTAGAGGTTGTTGGCGGCGACTCCGACGATCGCGTCGCCCTGGCCCGCCGAATCATGCACAGCTCTCAAGTCACCGCCTGCCACGTCGCTCTCAGCATAGTCATCATCGTCAGGGGTGAGGATGTACCCAGGCAGCAAAGTGAGTCTCTCGTGATAGATAGCGGGCCCACCGACGTTGTACCGAACGTAGTGGAACTGTCCCGCGGCGCGAGCAGCCATTGCTCCTAGCGGCGGAACTTCCTCGCCTGGGCAGCCGCCGCAGTCGCGAGGTCCAGAGTGTCCACGGCCTCCTGAGGAGGTGCTGGAGCGGGTGCAGGCTGCACCACGGGGGCCGTCAGCGAGCTCTTGACGAAGTAGCCGCCGACGACGATGCCGTACGCGAAGGAGCCCACCACGAGCACGACCACGAACTCGGTTGACCAGCCTGTGGGCTGAGCAGATGCCAAGGAGCCCTCACACGTCGGGCAGCGGCACTCCAGCACTGGGCAGTGCAGCGCAGGAGAGCAGACGCAATCAGGGCAAGGCGTCGAGCTGCCGCGAACGATGATGGCAGTGGTGAGGGCACTGGTGAGGTCGGCGCAGACCCGCTCAAAGAATGCTTGCATTCCTTTAGAACTTTAGCAAGGGAATACGGCCGCGGTGTTGCCACAATTGCCGACAAGTCGCTGTATGATGATGATGATGATAATGATGATGATGATGATGCTGATGATGAGAGGAGGGGAAGGAGGAGGAGGAAGGAGGAACGCGGGGCGACGCCTCTTGAAACGAAGACCCAACACCACATAATGGTTGGGAAACCCAGCCATGTTTGATCGATGACCTCCAAGATGGCTTCAGGAAGGGTGCCCCAAGAGCGCCCCATGAGGGTCCCAAGACGTCCCCAAGAGGGCCCAGTAGTTTTTCAGCATGTCCCCAAGAGGGCCGTATGATGGCCGAAGAGGCCTAGAAGACGCTCCCAGGGTGAACGATCGCAAACATCTCGATGCTGACTCCAGTTGTCATCGTCTTGGCGCTCTTCTTCTTTGTCGTCGCTAACTTCGTCCTCCCGTGCTCAAGCAGGGAACGCAAACTGACAACTCCCGATAACCAGCGCACATCACAAAATGTTGCCGTTTTGGGATGGGCTGGTGGGGATTCGCGCGGCAATTAAATGAGTCATGGGTCATGTGTGGTGGGTGTGTGACAAATAACGACGATGTTGGTGATTTGTGTGGTGACGAACATGATGATGACAATGGCCATGGTCGTGGACAGGACGATGGAGAAAAATATGTTTTCTGTGCGAAATCAAGCGAATGATCGGGCGTATTGAGTGAGTGCCGGGTGATGAAGATGACCATGTGCAGGGCGACGGTAAAGAATATGTATGAAGTTGGTGGAAATCCCACCAGCCCTTTGGGCGTGAGTGGTTTAGCGAGCTCTCTCTGTTCTCAACCCCCTTTCTTCCCCTTCGGGGAGGGGTTTACCCCTCCCCCTACCCCCTCCCCCTGGGCCTGGAGGGGGCCTTTCGCGGGTGGTTGGAGGGTCCTTTTCCGACTCCTGGGAGGGCTAACAAAAACGACACCCCTCACGAGGATTCTGGCCCCGACAGGGGGGACTGACGGAAATGCTCCTCTCTTCTTTGAAGCCAAAATCATTGATGTTACTACGGTTTTGGCCCCATTTTGGCCTTCTGAAGGGGCAGCGCTAATTAAAGCTCCCCTTTTCTTTCAAGCCAGAATCATTGATTTTACTAAGGTTTTGGCCCCATTTTGGCCTTCTGAGGGGGCAGCGCTACTTAAACCTCCCCTCTTCTTTGATCGATTTCCTCCAAGATGGCCCCAAAAAGCGCCCAGGAGGCACCAAGAGGCCCCAAGATGGCCCCAAGAGGCCCCCAGGAGGCCCCCAAGAGGATCCCAGACGGCCCAAAGAGGCCCCCCCGAGGCACCCAAGACGCCGAAAAGCCCATCAGGACGACCCTCTACTCGCCTGGGCGTCGTTTCTGGACGGGCAGGAGGAGGGGCCCGAACGACTCACACCAGGACGAGGGGCCCGAACAACTCATACCACGAGAAGCCCGAACGACTCACACCAGGACGAAGAGCCCGAACGACTCACACCACGAAGAGCCCGAACGACTCACACCAGGAAAAAGGGCCCGAACGACTCACACCAGGACGAGAAGCCCGAACGACTCAAACCACGAGGAGCGCTTTCTCTCCCTCCTCCTCCGCACCGTCCTTCTCCCGCTCCCACCACAAGGAGGATGTACAAGGAGGCGGGAGGAAGGAGGAACAGGGGAGATATGCGGGGGCAGGCGGAAACACGCCTGAAAAACACGACTGTCGGCATGCTTCGCTAGAGTTGCTGCTTTGAGATGGGCTGGTGGGGATACGCGAAACGTGAAGAATTGTACTGATGCTGAAGATTATGCGAGGCCAGCTGGCAGTAAGGGAGATAGTGTGTGAGTGGGTCGTGTGTGGTGAATGTGTGGTGATCACAAAGGTGATGAGGTGGATGGTGAGGGTGGTGGTGATGAAAGTGGTCATGGCGGTGCAAAAAAATGATGAGGATAACGATGTTGTGCGTCCGAACGTCGGTGGGGTTGGGATACGCTCGGGTGAAAATTCGCCAAAATGAAATTTCGAACGGGTGTACGGCCGGTGGAATCTAAATTCACTAATGTGTAGTAAAGTCGCTCGAACTTAGATTCGTTCGGGTGTAATTTCGCTTGGGTGTATTCGCTTGGGTTTACATTCGCAATGTACATTCGCTCGGATGTAAGTTGGCTCGACTTTAAAAGCGCCAAAGTTCAATTCACTCGGGTGTACTTGCAATCGCTCGAATCTGAATTCGCTTGGATTTACACTCGCTTCGGTTGAAATTCGCTCGGGCTTGAATTCGCGCGAATTTGCAATCGCTTGGATATTAATTCGTTCGGATTCACATTCGCGCGGATACAACGCGCTCGAAAGGAAGTCCGCGGTGGGGGTAATCAGCTCAAGAACAGCTACGCAAACGGAGTAGACACCAGGCAAAACGAAACCGAGCGAAACGAAACCGCACAAAAAAAGAACGACATAAAAGCGAGCGAAGCGAAACCGAGCGAAAACCAATCCGAACGACAAAAAAAAACAAGCGAAACAAAAAACGATCGAAAACAAATCGAGCGAAACAAAACCGAGCGACAACGCAGGCAACCGAAAAGGAAACGAGCGACACAAAAACGAACAAGAAAAAACGCCATCCTCCGTAACCTGGTGGTTGCGCCCAAGAGGGGAGAGCGATGGATTCGAACCGGGGCGCCGCCCCCTCCTGAGTTGCTAAGGGGGGTGGAAGCGGGCCCCCCCCGACTGCCCAGGGAACAAGCCAGTTCGAACCGCTTCCCCCTCACCCCCACGCCTGTACGCGTCGTTATCGCCGTCGCCGTCCCTGTTGCCGTCGCCGTCGCCGTCGCCGTCGTCGCCGTCGCCGTCGTCGCCGTCGCCGCTGCCGCCGCCGTCGCCGTCATCGTCGTCGACGACGTCGCCGTCGTCGTCGCCGTCGCCGTCGCCGTCGCCGTCACCGTCGCCGTCGCTGTCTCCGTCGCAGTCGCCGTCGCCGTCGTCGCCGTCGCCGTCGTCGCCGTCGCCGACGCCGCCGCCATCGCCATCGCCGTCGCCGTCATCGTCGCCGTCGCCACCGTCGTTGCGGTCGTCGTCGTCGTCGTCGTCGTTGTTGTCGTCGTCGTCCTCATCATCGTCAGTCTCGCCGTCGTCGTCGTCGTCGCCATCGCCGTCGCCGTCGCCGTCATCGTCGTCGTCGTCGTCGTCGTCGTCATCGCTGTCGCCGTCGCCGTCGCCGTTGCCTTCGCCGTCGCCGTTGCCTTCGCCGTCGCCGTCGTCGCCGTCGTCGTCGCCGTCCGCCTCCTTCGCCGTCGCCGCCGCCGTAGTCGTCGTCGTCGTCGGCGTTGTGGTCGCCGTCGTTGGTCACCGCCGCAGCCGTCGCCGTCGCCGTCGCTGTCGCCATCGCCGTCGCCGTCGCCGCCGCCGTGCCCGTTGCCGCCGCCGCCGCCGCCGTCGCCATCGCCACCATAATCGTCGTCGTCGTCGCTGCTGGGCAACTGCGTCGGCGCTGGTGCCGGCGCTCGCCGTCGTTGGTTGCAAGGGGGGCCCCGTCCCGCCTCGAACGCCCTCCCATTGCAACTCAAGGGAGGGAGGCCCTATGCGCGACGTCGTCATCGTCGCCGTCGCTGACACCGTCGCCATCGCCATCGCCGAAATCGCCGAAATCGCCGTCGCCGAGGTCGCCGTCGTCGTCGTCGTCGTCATCGTCGCCGTCACCGTCGCCATCGCCGTCGTCGCCGTCGCCGTCGCCGATGCCGTCGCTGTCGCCGTCGCTGTCGCCATCGTCGTCGCCGTCGTCGTCGCCGCCGTTGCCGTCGCCATCGCCATTGCCGTCGGCGTCGTCGTCGCCGACGTCGCCGTCGCCACCGTCGTCGCGGTCGTCGTCGTCGTCGTCGTCGTTGTCGTCGTCGTCCTCATCATCGTCAGTCTCGCCGTCGCTGTCGCCGTCGCTGTCACCGTCGCTGTTGCCATCGCCGCCGCCGTCGTCGTCGCCGTTGCCGTCGCCATCGCCGTCACCATCGCCGTCGCCGACGACGCCACCGCCGCCGCCGTCGCCGTCGCCGTCGTCGTCGCTGTCGTCGTCGTCGTTGTCGTCGTCGTCGTCAACGTTGTCGATGCCCAACGGCGCTGGCGCCAGCGGTGGCGCAAAAGGAGGGTCCCCCCAAATTCGAACCCCCGCCCTTGCAAGCGCTGCCTTCTTGGAAATGGGCGAGCCATGTGCGTGGGAGCACGGCACACGAGGCTGAAGCAACAACTCGTGCGCGAAGCAGAAGCACGCGGAATGGCGACCTGGGAGCGTCAGAGGTGCGTTTACAATAGGGTGAAACGGATACAAACGAGATGGCTACGCATGGCAACGGGAAGAGAAGGACGAGGGGCGACGGAAAGGAAACGAGCGGCAGCGGGGACACGGCCTGCGAGCACCGGGGAGGTGCCAGACGGCGTGGTGTCAAGCTCCCGCGGCTGGTGGCAGATTTGCGGCATGGCCGCGCCCAAGGGCGCGACGGCGTAGTCTACCTGTCTGGGGAGCTACGGGCTACTTCCACAGAAGCGCACCCTCGTCCCCAGACTATCCCTCATCGTCGTCGTCGTCCTCCACTCCCTCCCGTCGCACTCTTGCTGCTGCTGCTCTTCCAAAATATTACTCGTGATACATGCGCAGATGTCGCGCTTCCCGTGACCAAGTGAACTTTATGTATGGTGCTGGTCACCTGGCCGTGGAGACGCAATGGCCACTGAACCGAAGACCGTACCGCATCGGCGATGCAACGACGATACATTGGCGATGTCGGGATGCAACCATTATACTAAGCCGTTCACGGACAAGCCCTCATCCCGACACATTGTACAAAGCATGCCGCCAGGACTTCCCGTTTGTCTTCCCCCTGCCGCACACAAGGCCTCCCACAAAACCTCCCACGAACGAGCCTCGTATCGAATCTTGATGCCCCAACTACTTCAACCAATGACTGTCTTACGGCTTCTGGTAAGCTTAGCCGTGGTTCTCCTGCAACTTCTGAAAAGGCGCTCCCCCAGGCGTTCCACATAGCTGACACTATGCCTGGTTCCCAAAGCAGTGCTTCCACCTAGGGGTTCCTACTTGCGTTCCCTGAGGAATTGGGTGGGTGGGCCGAGGCTTCGAAACACTGCCGCTCGTTGCCGCCTGTGGGCGCATCGTGGGCGCTCCGTTTGGTGCTGGACAGGTATGCCGAGACTTCGCCTCACTGCCGCCTGTTGCCGCTCGTGGGCGCCTCGTGAGCGCTCCGTGTGCTGGATAGGAGTGCCGAAGTTTCGTAACGTAGCCGCTGGTGGCCGATCCTGGGCACATCCGACCACAAGAACTTACACTACACAGGCACCGCGTAGCTTGGACCTCGTAACTTGCACCACATAGCTTGCACCACACTGCGTGCACCAAAACGGGTAAAGAGGGCTCTAATGAACCCCCAAGACGGTCCAAGAATCAACAAAACAGTCCAACAGGGCCCAGGGGCCCATAGTTGCCCGACGGGCGCCCGAAGACGCCCCCCTCGCGACCTAGAAAAGACCAAAACAAGCCCCCGTCGTCCGTCGTCTGGCGTCCGTCGTCGTCGTCGTGCGTCATCGGTCGTCCGTCGTCCGTTGTCCGTCTTCCGTCGTCGCCGTCACCGTCGTCGTCGTCGTCCGTCGTTATTGTTGTCCGTCGTTGTTTGGTTCGTCCGTCTTCGTCGTCGTCATCGACGTCGTAGTCTGTCGTCGTCGTCGACGTCGTCCGCCGTCCGTCGTCAGTCGTCAGGCGTCTGTCGCCCGTCGTCCTTTCTCCGTCGTCCTTTGTCCTTCGTCCTTTGTCCTTTGCCCGCCGTCGTCGACGTCGTCGTCGTCGTCGCTGTCCGTTTGAAGGTCGTCGGACGCCGTCGTCTGTCGTCGTCGGGTCGACGGGCGCAGCGCCGGCGGCGGCCGCCTGGCAGCCGTACACGTTCGCCGTTACCCGCAGCACGAGGGCCTCGGCCAGGGCGCCCGGGGCCCGGAGCGGGGCCGCCCGTGCACGCCACGCTCGGCCTGCACCCCCGCGCTGCTCTGCGGCCCTCGCTCCTCCTCGCTCCTCCTCCTCGCTGCTGCTCCTCCTCCTCGCTGCTCCTCCTCCTCCTCGCGCTTCCCCCTCCTCCTCTCGCCCATAAATCCTCATTAACCTCCCCTTCCTCTTCCGCTGGTTCCCTTTCCTCTTCCTCCTCCTCCGCACCCCGAACTCAGGAGGCAATCGAAACTCCTCGCCGTCAGTGCCTAGCTGCGCCGAAGTGTTCCTGAAAAGGCGGTCCCAACTGTTAGCCCGATTGGCGGGGGAAAGAATATCGGTTGCTCTCGGATGCAACGTCAACCTAGCAAACCTCCATATTTTTCAGAATTGGGCGCCTTGTCTGCTGCGCCTCTCCGCATTGGCCTGCCCCCAAAGGGGGGATAGAAAGAGGGTAAAGGCAAGGAGGAAAGGGAGGGAGCGATGAAAGGGAAGATGTGGAGGGAGTGGGGTGGATGGGGAAAGTACGAAGGGAGACGGAAGGAGGCCGAGGAGGAAGTAGGCGGTATCCAGCGCGATCTGCTCACTGCTTAGAGCCCAGATTACCAGCAACGAACCTGTGCACTCCCGACCCAACTAGCTCGAGAATGATTTGTATTTTTCGAGATTGCAGCTGGTACCGCCCCCACCCGCCAGCCTTCAATAGGTAACGTCACGATTCGTGCTGACCTCCGAATTGTCCTTGGTTATTCCTAGACATTCCCGGACGGCGCCGGCGCGAAACATGCAGTTGCAAGCCCCCTCCCCCCCCCTTCTGGGAGAAGAATCGCGCTATCCTGGGGCAAGCTTGGTTGTCGAGGACAGCAACTATAAAACGGGCCGCAGACTGTTCAGTTCGCGAGGTAGGCGGCAACCGACCAGAATCACTTCCTACTCCGACCCCTTTATGCCTCGCCATCGCTCGGCAGTCCGTTGCCCATGCACGATTCGGTGTCGTGCGCTTACGTGTTCGCAGGATGAACACGTTCCAACGATGCCAAGTTGTCCAACCGCTGCGACCTCCGCTAGCTCCTGCACTCGGGGCAGGAGCCCGCAGACGAGCTATAAAAGCGGTGCAGAGAACACCATGGGGCCGCCCTCAGCCGTCATAGAGGGGAGGAGAAAAAGGAGGCGAAAGAAGAGGACTCGCAGGAGAGGGAGGGGAGAGGAAAATGAGGATTGATGCTGAGCGGCTGAAAGCGGAGAGCACGTAGTATACAGGTGTGGGGCAACAGAAGCAGGAAAGGAAGAAGACGTGGAGTAAGTGGAAGCAACAACGACAAGGTGGGTGGGACAATTCGACTGGAGGGGAGGAAGATGTGGAGGGAAAATGGGAGAAGAGGGCGAGAAAGAAGATCATGGAGAAGGAGAAATGGAAGAACCACGAGTCAGAGTACGAGCAGGAGAAGGCAGAACATGAACCGAATCTGGGTAGAGGGAGAGGAATATGACGAGGATACAGAGGTCGAGAAAGACTAGAAGGATGGGAATGACATAAAACATGTGAGGAGGATGAAAGATGAGCGGACGGAACGCCTGTCCAGCCGTGCCCCCCGCGAAGCATTGTGTAACGAGGAGGAGAACTGAGGACGAAGAGCAGGCTGCTGATGGGGGGCAGCAGCAGGAGCAAGATGCAGCAGCGCAGCAGGCAACACGAGAAATATGATTCGACCCTGTGCATGAACGGACTGATGGTGGATAGTACGGCCTCGGCCTCTTTGCACTCCGCTGCAGCAGGAGGCAACATGAGAAACCTCCTCCCCCCTTCGACTCCTGCTCCGCCTCCCGCTCCTCCTCCTCCTCCTCCTCCTCCTCCTCCTCCTCCTCCTGCTATGTTTCCCCACCTTTCGACGCCACCCCCTGCTAGTTCCCTCCACCTCTCCCAAGACTCCCGACAACGTGATGTGTCACAACGTGAACCCTAGAAGTCTTCAGGGAAAATTGTTCATCTCGCGTTTCTGCTCTCAGACACGGGGCTCGACAAGGGTCCCAGAGGCAACGGATACCCCGAACCCTCCGTCTCCTTTCGTGATTTTCCACGACGCGAGGGAGGCTCGGGTCGGACGAAAAGGAAGGGATAACAAAAGAAGGGTTCGCGAACCTGCTCGCGTAGCTGATTTCTGGGTGCCTCCCGGCGCTGGAAGCGCCCATTGATCGAGGGAAGCGCCCACCAGCGGGACCGAAACCAGCCGCACGCGTCCGATCCGCGACCCCTTCCGTCCGATCCGCGAGGGGGTCTGGATCCTCCTGCCCTCTCCGCCCCCTCCTGGAGCAGGGGCAGCGGGCCCGCCGCAAGCGGAGCGAGAGCGGCGGGGTGCGTCCTGGAGAACGTCCTGCACGTACAGCTTGCACTGCACCTGGCGCCGAGAGGAGCGGCCGTCGTCGGCCCCGACGCGGTCGCTGGGCCGAAGCCCGAACCCGGCAGGAGGCGCCGTCGAGGTCGCATCGCCATCGTCGTCGCCGTCGCTTCGGCCGTCGCCGCCGCCGACGCCGTCGCGGATGAGGGCCTAGACGCGGGGAAGCGGGAGGCGGGCCGACGATCAGAATGCTCGGATGCCTTTGTCCGAGGGGCGGACCACCTGTCGTGCGGCATCTGGGAGCTCAGAGGTGCGGGGACCGCCTCAGACCATCAGCCCGTATCGGAACAGAGAGATGCCAGGATGTCTTAAGCGAAACGAGCAGTAAACCTCAGAATTTGACAATGCCTTCACGCGCGGGTCCTCTGTGCGGCATTGGTTCGTACCACAATGTACCACAGCAGGGCACAATTCAGGGCACAATTCAACACGCCCTTTTTCAGAGAAAAACGAGTCGACTGGACTTGTTGGATTATCCTGCGACTCTGCTGCGAACGTGCTTGCATCCTCGCAGGATGCGCTTTCAATGTGTCGCACAATGCCCCCTGCCATCTCTGAGCCCATCGTTGCTAGGATGTCTAGCGCAAAACGGGCCCGACCACCTCGCGCGCGGCATATCCAAGCTCAGAGTTGCGAAAATGTCCCATGCGAAATAGGCCATATTACCTCGGTCACGACAGAAATTGAGCAACGTTGTAGTTGAGTCGAAGGGAAGCTCCTTCCCTTTGATCATTTCCCCGCCAAAAAGGGGGGGGGGGGGGGCAAAGGGGGGTCCCGGGGTGGGTCCCGGGGGGGGGTCTCGGGGGGGTGGGTCCCCCGCGTCCAGGGTAGAGCCCTCCCGGTTCCGGGGTAGAGTCTACGGGTTTCTGTGGTTGAGGGCGGCCTCTCGTTTCCAGGGTTGAGACCTGATTTCTGGGGTTGGGACATCTTCCTCGGGGGGGTCACGGGCGGTTCGGGAGCCCAGAAAAGCCCCAAGCCGCTGCAAAGTGCCCCAAGATGTCCCCAACACGGTTTTCGAGGGCCCCCAATCGCCGAAATATCGGTTCAAGATGGCCGAAAGGAGCGCAAAACGTACAGTTCCCGTAGGTTTGTAAAGGATTTCAGCATTCTCGCCTTGTCAGCTTCCCGACGCTCCAAGATAGGCCAAGAGAGGCCTCCAAGACCGCCCCAAGATGGCTCAAGAGGCCTCAAAGAGAGCTCCACAACGCGAACCAAGAGGGCCCCAAGAACGCCCAAGAGGCCTCCAAGACAGCCGAGGAGGCCCCCAAGACGGCTCCAAGAGGGAGCCCAGACGGGGGACCCGAACGGACATTTCGATCCCTCGGCCTGAGAAGTTCTCGGTAAGCCCCACCCCTCAGAAGCCCCCCAAGAGGATCCAAGAGGCCCGCAAGAGACCCCCAGGAAGCCCCAAGAGGCCCCCACGAGGCTCCCAAGCGGCTCCCAAGAGCTTCCCAAGAGGCCCCCAAACTACCACGAAGAGGCCCCTGAGAGCGCTCGTCGTCGTCGTCATTCAGGGTCGGCGGCACCGGCCGTAAGGCCTTCACAATAGGCCATATCACCTCGAACACGACATCTGGGAACTCAGAACTGTGAAGAAGTCTCAGGCGAAACCAGCCAGACCAACTCAGATACGGTCACACCAGAACATCATTGTTTGAGGACGTCTAAGGCGAAACTGGCCAGACCACATCAAAACTTTGAGAAAATATAGACGCGCGGGTCCATCGAGCGGAACTAATCCTTATCACCACCGGCCAGGCAACACAGGACAACCCCACAATGAAACCTTGATGACGGGAACGGAAGAGACCCCATATATTTTGAGACACAACTGCACAAGCAGAAACTGTCTGGCGCTGGACCTCCCTCCTGGGTGCGCGGAGCGCGCTCGGGTCGGCGTAGAAGCGCCGCCCGAGAGGTTCAGCACCGATCCAAGAGATCCGCGCGGACCTGAAAATTTATACTCATGGCAGGTTCGCGTCGTGCCGACTCCGGCGTTGGTTTCTGACACCGCGGGGATCATTCAGTCTGGAACAGTCAGCCGTTTCTGAAACGTCAGATCTTTCAAGATCCACCGATTCTGGGTCGCTGGCGGCATTCAACGTTAAACGCCGGCGGCGGGGTTGCCGTCGGTCGACACGTCGCGAACCTACCATAGATGGGGTCGGAGAATCGCGCCGCATCACTGATGCATCGGCGATGCGACGCGATGTGGAGCCCGATGTTCTATACCCTGGCGTCGCAGATGCATCGCAGATGTCGCCGATACGGGCTGGGCACTGCTGTAAGACTTCGAAGCGTGCGCGCGCTCGTGGGGCACCCGGAAGAGAACCGGGCATCCCAAGCTGACTGTCGATGCGCGCAGACATTGGGCGGCATGTTTTTCCCACAATGTTGCTCTCAGAGGTCTGGGCCCCAGGATTAGCAACGCAAAGGCCCCCGACACGGGAGCAGAGAAAACGCGCGGCCGAGGTGTCGGGAAATGCTGGGCTCGGGCCACCTGGTACAAGGATTCCGCTTTATTCTCTTGCGCAGGGTGTCTAGAGCTCCGACCACTTTATTTCGGCACGGCACACCCTCCAACACCCACACATTCCACCAACCAGCGCGCCCCTCCGCCCCGACACCTTTATTTCGGCACGGCACACCCCTCCGCCCGGATTCTTTTATTCCCGCACAGCATACCCCCTCCACACTCCTTCCGCCCCCCCCCCACCCACCAGCCAGCGCGCCCCTCCGCCCCGACCCATTTTATTTCGGCACGGCACACCCCCTCCGCATCCCCCCCACTCACCAGCCAGCGCGCCCCTCTGCCCCGACCCCTTTCATCTCGGCACGGCACACCCCTCCGCCCCGACACCTTGATTTCGACACGGCACACAGCCTCCGCATCCCCCCACCCACCAGTCAGCGCGCCCCCTCCGCCCCGACCCCTTAATGTCGGCACGGCGCACCCCTCCGCCCCGACCCCTTGATTTCGGCACGGCGCACCCCCTCCGCATCCCCCCACCCACCAGCCAGCGCGCCCCCTCCGCCCCGACACCTTGATTTCGGCCGGCACCCCCCCCGCATCCCCCCACTTACCAGCCAGCGCGCCCCCTACGCCCCGCGACCCCTTTTATTTCGGCACGGCACCCACTCCCTCCCCGCGCGCCCCGCGCGCCCCCTCTGCATCCCCCCCAGCCATCAGCCAGCACGCCCTTTCGCCCCGACCCCTTTATTACGCCCCCCCTTCCGCCCACCCACCCACTCACAAGCCAGCGCGCCCCTCCGCCCCGACCCTTGCATTTCGGCACGGCACACCCCTCCGACCCGACTCCTTTATTTTGGCGCGGCACCGCCCCCTCCGCCCCCTCTGCGCGCGCCCCCTCCGCATCCCCCCAACCCTTCAGCCAGCGCGCCCCCTCCGCCCCGACCCGCTTGTTTTGGCGAGGCACCGCCCCCTTCGCCCTGACCCATTCATCTCGGCACGGCACCGCCCCCCCATTCCGAGCGCAGCCCCCGCATCCCCCCATCCACCAACTAATACACCCCCTCCGCCCCGACCCCCCCATCCCGAGCGCCCCCTCCATCACCCCATTCACCAGCCAGTGCGCCCCCTCCGCCTCCTCCCCCTTCCTTTCTGTGCAAGAGCCATGGCGCGCGTGCCACTTGTTTCTTTCGGATTTTATTTCGTCCACTAATTTCGCTTCATTTCGTCCGCTTCGAGTTGTCCGCTTCGATTCGTATGGTTCCAATTCGACCGCGTTTCGAAAGAGGACGAAACGAAAAAGGACGCACCGAAAGAGGAAGAGTCAAAAGAGGACGAATCGAAAGAAGACGAAAACGAAACGGACGACATGAACATCCACCCGTACAAGGGCCTTGGGCCTTTCGTTTAGAGTCCGCCGGCGTCGGCACTGCCTGGCTTCTGGGCTGCGGGAGAGCCTCGACGATGATGGAACGAGTGGGGCCATGGTGAGCCCCAACAAGAAAGCCAAGTGCAAGCGCATCACCGTGAAAAGTGTAATGGTGTGCGCAGCATTGCAGCTCGAACGAACACTGGAAACTGATCGATCGGAGCAACAAATAGTTCTTAGATAACAACTTTCAGAGGTCCGCGCGGATTTCTTGGACCAGCGCTGGACCATCTCCGATCAAAGAAATACGCACGGACCTCCAAACGTTCAGCGCCTGCTTATTCGAATGTTGGCACGCTGGGCGGTTGCATTGGCTGGTGCCAAAACAGCCGCATGGTCTGAGCAAGCACGGGCTCTTGGCACAATGCACTTGAAACAAGGCAGGCTACGAATAGCGATGGTATCAATGGTGAGTTGAGGATGGGAAGGCCGCAGCCAGAGCCACCGCATGATCCTGGGGAGCGAGAGCGTGAGGAAGTGGGCGAGGAACGTACGATAGGATGCAGAATTGCACTTTAGACGCGCCTGGATGCGGAGACTAATTTTGGTTGGGGTTGAGCCCAATGAGGCAACGCCGAATTCTGCAGAGAAACACCGAAGTCAACAGAAATTCAAAATAGGAAGTAACGTGGCGTCTGCCAGTATGAACTGGGCCTGCATCTGTACAAGACCATCGCCAAGTCCTCCAATCTAAATTCCTCCTCCTGTCTTCTCCCTCCCCCTCCACCTCATCGCATCTCCCTCCACCTCCCTCTCCCTTTCCCTCTGCCTCCGACAACGCGCCACACCTCATCCTTATACACCTACACTTCGTCCGTCATCCTTCTCCCTTCTCCCTTCTCCTTATCCTCCTCCTTTTCCGCGTCCTCCTTCCCTCCCCTCCAATACAATCCACAACGAGCTACACCATCGCTCTGGTAATCCGTTCCCCACGAAGGAGGGAGGCACGGGGAGTGGAGCGGATCACCGAGAAGTAACAGAGGTTATTCTGCTCTGGCGACTCTGGTATCCATAGCTCCATGCGCAGCATCGGGAATACTCTGGAGCTTCCTACTTGCAGTGGGAAGATCGATAAGCCACCAAACCTCCTCACACGGAGGCTGGCTGACCAGTACGGCTAGACGAGAGAAGCGCGGCCGAATGCAAAATCTAGAAGGCATCCCTTTGCCTCAGACTATTGCTAATGTGCTGCACGGCTTGGCTTCATAGTAGTCGAAACAATTGTCCTCCTCAGTGTTGCAGCCGCCGTTCAACAACAAACAAGTCCCTGGGTCCACTTCGCAGTGCCCGGGGCCGGGCATGAAGCTGAAATACCTGCAGGCGCGGGGAAAGGCTCAACAGCATTGAACACTCATGTTCCCCCTTCTTCCTTGGTAACGGATTGTTTTCCCAGAATCAGCGCTTGCACTTGATAGAACCTTGCAGAGATTGTAACCATTCGGCGAGAGGGCGCCGCCGATTTCGGTGGGCGGCCGAACTACCAGGTCCAAGCTTACCCGTTCAGAGTGCTGGGTTCCCACTGTTTTGAAAAGTTCGGAAGGATGTGTCGCCGATGTCGGTGGATCGACGGGTGACCATGTTCCGAAGTCTAGACGTGGTGAACCTCTCCCGCCGATTTCGAGACATTTGGCTCTCCTCCTCCCCCTTCCCCCTTCCCCTGGGGTCTGAAACTTGATTAGATAGGCTCGTCAACGCACCCCCGGGGCCTCCGGAGCCTCCAAAACGGCCAAAGCGGGCCCAGACATAGCGCCAAGACAGTCGAAGAGAGCGCCGAGACGGCCCAGAGTAGCCCCACGACGTCCCAAAATGACTTCAAGACTGCCCACAAGGCCCGCAAGACGGCGCAAACGTGTTCCCAGATGACCGCCGACAAGGCTCCAAGACGTAACAGGAAGAAAGCATATGTTTTAGCACACGCGCCTTCTTCGTTGACAGTTTCTAAAACTGCCCAAGAAACTTCCCAAATCGTCACAAGACGGCCAACGAGGTCCCAAAGAGGGCTCCAAGACGGCTCAAGAAGGCCCCGATACGGCCGAAGGGGCCCCCAAGACGGCCTAAGAGGTCCCCAAGGCAGCCCGAGAGAGCCCAAAGAGGGCCGAAAGAGAGCCTAAGAGTGGGAATACGAACTGATATTCAGAGCCGTTCCCCGCAATATGTCCCCAAGAGTCCCTCAGAGGCCCCATAGGCAACAAGCCTCCCAGATGCGCCCTCCAAAAGGCCCCTGAGAGGCATCCCAAGAGACTCTCAAATTCATCCAACAGGCTCCTGACCCATAGCCCGGGCACGGTGGCGGATTGGGCCGAAGGCCAAGCTGATTTTCTTCTGGGTGTCGGCGGAATGGGCAAGTCACTTGAATTAAAAGAAATCGACAATGGAGGGTAGAAAACAGAGTGGTAGATCAAAGAACATAAAGAACACGATTAACAACATTCACCATATCTGCTTGTCGCCCGGACACCGGCGAACTCCCCGTACAACGCATGCGCGAGCAACTGATCAAGCTTTCTGTTTCCAATTTCGGCAACCAAGGGATTTTTTTCCAGGCCTCGGAGCTATGACAACACATCAGGGACGTGCAAAATCAGTAAACGCCCTGGGGTCGAGGCTGCGGAGATCAGATGCTCAAACATTGTGTCGCTTCTCTTCTCCTCTCCGCGAACATCCAACGTCGCAACTTTCTCATGTCGTGGGTCCTCGGAGCTCTCGGCGCCATACCAGAAATCGTTCTGTCCACAAAGACTGTTAATTGCATGGTCGTGGGGCTATGAGAACAAGCCCGAATGCAACAATACAATTGCAATCCCATCCGTGATTCATTCACGAGGCTGTCCTCCTCCTCCTCCTCCTCCTCCTCCTCCTCCTCCTCCTCCTCCTCCTCATTGGAACCTGCACTGATCTCCGAGCGCCGTGCACTTCATTGCGCAGGCGTGAACGTTGCTCACGTTCGCGTGCCGACTGATCAGCGCATCCTTCCAGTTCGAGCACCCCGTCCTCGTGGTGGACGGGCAGAGAGAGGAGGATGTGTCGCGAGGGCAGCCGAACTGCAGTAGGTGGCAAGACATCGGCCTGGTGGCCCAAGGCGCTAGGGGAGGGAGAAGCAGGCGTCAATTGAAAGCAGTGTTTTGTGTATGTTCGATCCCCTCACCCAACGATTTGACGCTTACTTCTGAAACCACGAACGGCTCCCAACACACGAAGGGAACCACAACGAAAACTGTCCACACTGCCCTGCCCAGAAATTGGATCGACCCATGGGGGACAGACTGCGAGGAGGCAGCCTGAACCAGAGGAGAGGGAACAGGACGACTGGCCTGGGCGCAACTGGCCTGGGCGCGGGGGCCTGTGCGCGCCTGTACTGAGGGCAGATGCGCGAAATAAGTCCCAGCGGCTGCCCTGCAAAGACAAGATGGGGCGGGGGTGGAACGTGGAGAGAATCATCGGCCTGTAATCGACATAATGAACTCGCGACATGGTGCCCGTGGTGCCAGAGGGGAGAAGCGAAACTCGGAACGATGCGATTTTTCGGCGACCCTGGATGCTCTTCAACCTGCGGGGGTCCCCGGAGGTCGTTGGGCTTCCTGGAAGCCGGAACAAGAACAGGACCGATCCCCACCAGCAAACGCATAGAAGAACACGAGCGTCGCTTTCCTCTCCTCCCTGTTTGAAGAGCACCCCGTCCTGGTGGACGAGAGGCAAAAAGGTGCCTCCTTCGGAGAGTCCATGATGTGCAAGTCCCAACACGCGTTGAAGACCTCGTCACAATCCCCAGACTGGAAGACACACGTCTTCCGCAGCGTGCCAGTGTTCGGCCCCTGATTCGAACAATTCTGAGGCTGGTAATTGAACGATTTGCATCCGGGAAATCGGCTGCAGGCGTTGCCGCACGCGTGCTCGCTGTCATAGATGCCGCTTGCGATGTAAACCTGGTCCCAGTTGCTGCAGCCTGTGCGCATCTTGGTGGACCAAGGTCCAACCCTGCTGGCCAGCGACGGGGCCCGGAAAGACGCAGTCGAGGCACCGGCCCGCGCTCGCTGCACAGTCGCGACGAGCGCCGTGGCCACCAGCACCACAAGGACAGAGGCAGCACCTTGGGCGCTGCGGGGGCGATCCATGGGGGGGGTGGAATGGAGGGGAGAAGCGTGCACCTGTCGTGCCCCTTCTTTTGGGCCCCTGGGGGGCCCCCTTACCTTCAGGGCCCCTCTGGGGCACGAGAGGTGGGCCTTTCTTCACCCACCCCCCTCCATCGCACCCCCATGACCCACCGCACGAGCGCCGAGGATCCCCCGGCGCCCAGAGAATGTTGTGGTGCCCGTCCCTCGGTCGCCGTGGCCGTGCTCCTTTCGGCTCGCGAGGGGCAAAATCACGCCTTCGACAAGGGAGAAAATGTGAGAGGTGATGCGGGAGGGACAGCAGCATGAGCAAGTCGGCGGCGAGCGAGGGGGGAAGTGAGAGGGAGAGGCCTTCTCAAAGGCGGCGGCGCTTCGCAGACGCCCTCGCGCGTCCTGAAAAAATCTGCGTCTTCGGGCCAGGCTTGGAGAACTTCTCAAAAGGCTGGGAACTTTCCGAGCCTTGTCAGACAGCCCAACCCCTCTGACATTCCCCCCGTGCTCGCCGCCGAATGTGATGTGCAACAGCAGGAATAAAATCACCATACCTCGCCAACCCTCCACGCCGCGAGATTTGTCACATGGGCCAACGAAAAACATGCTCTGTACCAAAGACCAACTGCTCCGCTTTTTTCTAGCGCAGGGACATCTCACCAAGAAGCTGCCCCAGAAGAGCAGCCGAGACTTCCCAAATAGTTCCAATGACGTGATCGCACGCTGCCGCCACGAAAGCGTCGCACAAAGACTCAAAACGTTGGCAGGCGAGTAATAACGAGAGGACAACGAGGCGAAAAACTGCCGCCCCCCGCTTGCCGGGGGTGAAAAGGCATGTGGGACATTTGGCTGACCCCTCACCCTTTCCCCCTCCCCCACCTCTGGGGGGGGACATTTGGCTGTCCCCCGCCCCCCCCCTCCCGCTTTCCCCCTTTCCCCAGGCCGGGGGTGGGGCGTCCCCAGGCTTTTCCAGACCACCCGTGGGGCCTCTGGAGCGCTTCGGTGATGGGTAGAGCTACCATTACCGCGAGCCGTCCAACATATGATACAATGTTTTGCGCTGGACGCATTGAGGCCGAAGCTACGTGTACACCGTACACCTCCATCATGTATACATCTTCTCAATGTTCTTGTCCCGGAGCCGTGCCTGAAGGGCGGCTCCATCGTGACGGTGTTTTGCTCGGTGCCTCCGCGGTCCTCATTGTTCTCTGCGGCGCTGTCCCCATCGACGGGCTGACCAACATCGACGAGGACCCTTCTTCCGAGGCGCAATCGGCCAAGACAAGCTCGTTTTCTATCCAAGCTCGCTGTCTATCGATACTCGTGTAGGTGAAGGAATCCAGCATCAGACCGCCGGGCAGAAAGTTCCCACGAAACACACAGCACCCTAGTATGAACATCGCCGCTCATGTGCTCCACTGAGTTTGGAGCTTCTGCGTTCTTGGAATGTTGGAGGGCTCCAGCGCAATTCCAGGATCCAACTTACCGAGCTCTTACGGATGACGCGCTCCATAGATACGGGCACTCTTCGTACCCAAGAAACGTAACTTCATAGCGCACATTAAGAAGAAGAGCATGGGTTCTGAATCTGCCTATCCGAGGGACTCGACTGAGAACGAGCTTCTAACGCAAGAGTCGGTTTCATAATTGCTCCATGGGCACGGGCATCAGTTGTAGCCTTTAGGGTATCTTCCACAAGTGTGGCAACATCGAGACACTTAGGCTTCCAGTGCAGCATGGTGTCTTGGATAATATTTTCGCTTACGCACCCCACAGCGGGCAACACTAATCTTTCTTCTCGGAGTTTGGGGCAATAACGAAGTTCACGACAACTCATTGCACGGCTATGCTTCTGGGCGAATTCCACTCCAAGTTGTTGCAGCAAGGCCTTGGGGGACCAAATGTTATAGGGGACTTTGTGCTCTCAGAAGGGTTAGCCTGGAGTATCCTGCAACCGAAATCTAACAAACAATTGCTGATCGAATACTGCATCGATACAGACATGCTGGTGGCGAATATGGTCTTCCAAATACCAATGGAAGAACATGATACGTTCAAACATTTGGGACTACAACGTCATAGTCGGTTGCGCCGGACAAATTCAATCAACTTGACCATAGATTGTGCCATAACACGGTAGCGTCTTGGAAACAAGACTGCAGGAACGACTGGACCAGAGCATTGAACAGCCACAATTTCCTGCCCTACGCTGAAGGAAATACAACATGCTTTGCATAACATGAAGAATCGGAAAACTGCAGGCCCAGATGATGTCCCGTCAAATGTTGGAAAATCGTATCTGGAGATGTTAATGCGTGTGGGGCTCGATTGGAAATCTGCCAAGCGTGCTGGGCGACAAAAATCATCCTCGACAAATGGATGAGGGCGAGTGTTGTTCTTTAGTTCGAGGGAGGGGACCACACGCTGCCTAACAACTACCGAACAATGTCTTTGTTGACAGCGCGTTGCTCTTTGTAACCGGCATCGATGCTCGACCAAAGGCCCTTCGAATGCGACCATCTCAATTCGGTTTCTGACCTCGGCGAGGCACGGCCGTCGCCCTCATGCTGATCCGGCTGATATCGACGCAGCAAACGAAGACGACACCCGAGGCCTCACGATACTCTTGCTTGATAGGGGAAGGGCACTCGACATATTAAAGCATATTGAAGCCAGATTGCGTATTCTCCATTGCTGCGCTTCGGAATTCCTTCTCCGATGGTAGCCATGATCAACGGCGGATACGCGGAACACTTCTTCACCATAGTGGGTCATTGTGGCTGCTCTTCGGGAAGCCGACAGGCTGCCAGTATAGCTCAAGGATGTCCTCTATCCCATACCTCTTCATGATGGTTCGAAGTGAATGAAATGCTACGCGCTGCATGTCACGATCTCCAACGTGGTGTTACGATACGTGCTCTACGCAGATGATGCGCTGTTACTTTCAAGGTACGGGGAGAATCGTCAAGCTCTTCTTGATGCTAGCGTTTGGGAAGGACGCAAATCTGGTCTGGAGCTTAATTGGGAGAAGACTGTACAGATGTCAGTGTCGTCAGACAGCTTGGTGACGAGGTCGTCTGGGGAGCCCATTACAAGAGCTACAGAAGCAGTTTACTTGGGAGGCTTGATCACACACGATGGGTGAGTGGGACATGAATTCAACTGGCGACTTGGCGAAGGGTAAGGCTTACATCAGCTGTGCAAGATCAAGATTTTGGAGCACGCTGCAATCAGCAAGACAAGAAAGTTGCAAGTATACACCAGCTGCATGTTGACCAAGGTCCTCCACTCCTTGGACTCCTTGTGGCTGCTGAGACTGATCGATCCACACTGGACGCTTTTCATTGCAGGTGCTTGCGAAAAATATTTGGCGTACCTCATTCTTGCTTTTCGAAAATTTCGAATGCTACCGTGCTGACTCATGCCGGACCCAAACCTTTTTCTGCAACATCAAATGACGGCCAAGGCAAGCTACACAGCAACATGGTTTTGCAAGCGGACGACTCCTTGGTGAAGCGAGTGGTGTGCAACGCTGACTCCACGCCCAAAGATTAGCTCTCCGCCGGCGCAAGGGTGAGTTCCAGGCAGCGGTGGGCGCAATCCGTACCCAAGTTTGATCCTATGAACATGTCGGGCTTTTTGTGCACTCCTCCTGGAGACACCAGCTGCGGCTCCGGCAACGTTTTACTTGCGTTTTCTGCCCACTCGTCCTGGACGGACGAACGGTGTTCCTGCCTTGTGCCTTCCAAGAAATCCCAAACGCCACTTCAACAGGTCTCCGATACCCCGAAGGAAGATAATCCGCCACCGATCCTCTGGGCGCGGAGTGGGCGTGTCCTCAGGTCCTTTGCGTAATTCCTGGAGCCTCAGTCCTCAGTCCCGGGATGTCTGTCAAGGGCCCGGACTCCAAATTCCGAAATCTCCCTGGGCTTCCCGCGGCTCCCCTGGGCGCCCCTGCGGCTTCTCGCATGACTTTTTGGGGGCCAGCAAGGCGGGTCCAGAGATTCCCGGGATGCCTTCAAGACGGCCCAAGAGGGCCCCAAGACGGCCCAAGAGGCCTCCAGGACGGCCCAAGAAGCCTCCAAGAGGCCCCCCAAGAAAGCCCCAAAAGGCACAAATCATTGAATTCTTTGAGGTTTTAAAGGAGATGGGCGTTCTCTTTCTGCCGGCTTTCCGACGCTCCAGGACGGCCCAAGGGGCGCAAAGGCCCAAGAGGCCACCGCCCAAGAAGATCTCAAGACGGCCCATAAGGTGGCCAAGAGAGGGAACACGACCCGAAAATACGAGCCGTCCGCCCTAAGAGGACCCCAGGAGGCCCCAAGAGACGCCTCCAAGAGGCCCCCTAAGACGCCCCAAGAGGCCCTCAAGAGACCCACAAGGTGCCCCAAGAGGCCCCCAAACGGCCTCCAAACTGCCCCCAAGGAGGCCCTCGAAAGGCCTCCCACGAGACCCCGACGAACGTCCAATAGGCTCCATATCACAGCCCAGGCACGGTGGCGGGATGGGCCGAAGGCCATTCGATCCGCCGCCCCCTGTTGATTCATCACAGGGGTGCCTAGCTTGCGGAACTGTATGGGTTTTGGTTTTGGTTCTTTTTCCAAACAAGAACTCCCCCTGGGGCTTCGGCCCGTCCCGCCGGCCACCGGGAAAGATGCCGAAAATTTGCCTGGACCCGGCTCCAAAGGGTTTTTCCTGGTCCAAGACGCCTCAAGATGGCGCCAAGATGGCCACGTTGGCTCAAGGTGGCCTCCAAGATGGTCCAAGATGGTCTCCAAGTCCGCCCAGGATGGTCCAAGACAACCTCCAAGACGGCCCAAGAGAGTCCAAGACGGCCTAAGACGGCCCAAGAGGCCCTCCAGAGGCCTCCAAGACGGCCCAAGAGGCGTTCCAGAGGTCCTCCAGGAGGGCCCGAAGAGGCCAAAATCATTGATTTCCCATAGGTTTTCGAAGGATTTGGGCATTCGCTTCTTCTCGGCTTTCCGACGACCCAAGACGGCCCAAGTGGCCCCCAAGATCGCCCCCACAGCGCCCGAGGCCTCCGAGATTGGCCTCAGGACTGCCCAAGAGTCCCCCAAGACGGCCCCAAGAGGGCACAAAGACGACCCAAGAGGCCTCCACGACGCCCAAGATGGCCTCTAAGACGGCCATGGAGCAGCCCAAGAGGGCCCCAAGACGGCCCAGAAAGGCCCCCCAAACGGCGTCCGACCGCGTCAGACGGGCCAGGGGCCCACCAGGATGGCCGAAGTTGGCTCGAAGCTGGCCCAAGAGGCCTCACAGAGGGCCTCCAGGAAGGCCAGAAAAAGGCAAACAAACACTGATGTTCCGTAAGTTTCCGAAGGATCTTGACATTTGTTTCGGTTCGGCCTTCCGACGGCCCGATACGACCCAAGAGCCCCCAAAGATCGCCCAAAGATCGCCGAAGAGGATTTCAAGATGGTCCCAGAACGGCCCAAGAGGCCCCCAAGACGGCCCCAAGAGGCCTCCAAGACGGTCCCAGAGGCGTTTAAGACGCCCCAGATGGCCTCCAATACGGCCCTGGAGCATTCCAAGAGGGCCCCAAGTCGGCTCAGAGAGGCCGACGGCGTCGGACGGGCCATGGGCCCACCAAGACGGCCGAAGATGGCACTGGCCCAAGACGGCCCAAGAGGCCTCCAAGAGGGCCTTCAGAAAGGCCCGAAAGGCCAAATCATGGATGTCCCATGAGTTTTTGAAGGATTGAGGCATTTGCTTCTTTTCGGCCTTCCGACTGCCCGAGACGGCCTAATTGCCCCCAAAGATCGCCCAAGAGGCCCAAGACGGCCCCAAGAGGCCCCGAAGACGGCCGAAGATGCCTCCAAGACGCACAAAATGGCCTC